GTCCTACGGATGCCGCGGGGGGGGGGGGGGGCTCGGATTGGCTGGAATGAGGGGCGCGCCGCGAGACCGGCCCCGTGCGACCCAGCGTCCACCGGCCCAGCCGCGTCGGGCAGCGACCCTGACCGCGATCGCGCGATCAGAGGTCGCGTTGGGCCCCTACCGAATGGAGCGAATGGGATCGGTCGCATGTGTGGGCTGACGGGCCCGTAGATGATGTGGGCGGCCGCGGGCGCGATGGCGGCTGGGGCCTTTCGCTGGGTCATGCTGACGAGGGCGACAACGGCAACATCAAGGGATATTGGGTTCATGTGGATCGCCTTTGGCAGATAGCGAGGAGCGAAAGAACATGGTTTTGGTTCGCCGTGGGGGAGTCTAACGCAGAACTCGTGGGAGATCACGATGGTGAATCGCGGGGGGGCGGCCGGGCACCCCGCCGACAAGCTCGGGTCAGAAAGGAGATGCACCCGCGGGAAATCCAGTCTTCGATGATTATGCTCGCGAAGCACTGAGAACCGCCTCTGCATCCTTGCCCGCGCCACCGCCGCCGCCGACGCCTACGGCGAGGCCGGTTGACAAGGGCGAGAGCAAGGGCAAGTACAGCGGCTGGAGCGGTGAAAAAGGCAAGGGCCCTTACGACCACCGTCAGCGAGATCAGTCTCAGTGGGGCCGGCGGACTGGCTATGATTGGAATCGTCCTCAGCAGAAGAAGACTCGTGGAGGTGATATTTTTCAGAAGGACTGGTACGACTTTGTCGGCATCGGTCCCACGTCGCGTGGCTTCGCCAACGTGATGTGGGTGCGATAGGAGTGGGAGATCTTTGTGGTATGAGCTGGCTTTAGATATTTGCTCTGGTAGATTTCGTCGTGTTCTTTCGGTCTCTTGCCCCATCGGCAGCCACGGTCGAGCCGTACCATTGTTTTTCCCAACCATCCTGTGGTGTTGGGTCCTCGTTTTGAAGAGACAGCGCCCCGCGTCCCACCTCCTTCTCCTCCTCCTCCTCTCCTCCCAGTGCTGCCGTCCGCATGCGTCCCGCACGCCCATTTCGGCACACCCCTCACGCGTTTCGTGGCCCCATAGGGAGCTCCACCGAAGGCCCCATGGCTGCCGTCCGCATGCGTCCCGCACGCCCATTTCGGCACCCCCCTCACACGTTTCGTGGCCCCATAGGGAGCTCCACCGAAGGCCCCAGTGCTGCCGTCCGCATGCGTCCCGCACACCCATTTCGGCACACCCCTCACACGTTTCGTGGCCCCATAGGGAGCTAAGGCGAGTGCTCCGAAGGCCTGCCGTCCGCATGCGTCCCGCACACCCATTTCGGCACACCCCTCACACGTTTCGTGGCCCCATAAGGGAGCTCCACCGAAGGCCCCTGCTGCCGTCCGCATGCGTCCCGCACACCCATTTCGGCACACCCCTCACACGTTTCGTGGCCCCATAGGGAGCTCCACCGAAGGCCCCATGGCTGCCGTCCGCATGCGTCCCGCACACCCATTTCGGCACACCCCTCACACGTTTCGTGGCCCCACAGGGAGCTCCACCGAAGGCCCCAGTGCTGCCGTCCGCATGCGTCCCGCACACCCATTTCGGCACACCCCTCACACGTTTCGTGGCCCCATAGGGAGCTCCACCGAAGGCCCCATGGCTGCCGTCCGCATGCGTCCCGCACACCCATTTCGGCACACCCCTCACACGTTTCGTGGCCCCACAGGGAGCTCCACCGAAGGCCCCAGTGCTGCCGTCCGCATGCGTCCCGCACACCCATTTCGGCACACCCCTCACACGTTTCGTGGCCCCATAGGGAGCTCCACCGAAGCGTCCCGCAGTGCCGTCCGGCATGCGTCCCGCACACCCATTTCGGCACACCCCTCACACGTTTCGTGGCCCCATAGGGAGCTCCACCGAAGGCCCCATGGCTGCCGTCCGCATGCGTCCCGCACACCCATTTCGGCACACCCCTCACACGTTTCGTGGCCCCATAGGGAGCTCCACCGAAGGCCCCAGTGCTGCCGTCCGCATGCGTCCCGCACACCCATTTCGGCACACCCCTCACACGTTTCGTGGCCCCATAGGGAGCGCCACCGAAGAAGATATTCACAAGTGCGGTACTCTCAACTGCACATGGTTGGGTCCTTCGCCAGGCTAATTAGGGTTGGCTCGCGTGGCTGCGCATATGTACAGGCCGTGTGGGTGGGGGATCGGGGCAGCCCTGCGCACCCCGCCACGGGGGGAGTCAATGCACTCCTCTCCGCACCACCATCTTGCTGCCGCTGCCTACGCTCCTTTGCGTTAACATGTACTGTACCTTATCAGACTGCAGCTATTTGGCTTAAGAATATCGGAAAATGAGCGAGCCAGCCCGCGCGCGTCGGCCGGCCGGCCGGTCTCCTCACTTCATGCATTTTTCTTTAGTCAGCGTAACGGAACACTCCTTCCTCGCCATGGCTTCGGCGGACCCCCCGGATCTTGAGACAGTATTGGGAAAGAGTGCAGAAATTCTCAATGTCCATGCAAAAAGCTGGAGGAGGAGGAGGAGGAGGAGGGGGGGCAGGAGGAGGAAGAGGAGGACATCTTGGCGAAAGCAGGCGCAACTGCTGTCCAAGTCGACGGCGACGGGAATTTCATCAGAGACTTGTTAGCTCCCCTCCCTAACCTCTTCCCCCAACAAGCCGTTCATGCTGGACATGCTGCTTTTGTCGTTGCTGCCGGGCATGTTGAAATGTGCGCGAATCCCAGTTTCGTGGTTGATTGCCAGGTGGTGCTGAGGGGAATGACGGTTCCCAAAGCGACCCTGTCTGGCAAAAGCTTGTGTAGCCGCCATTCGAAAGATGTTGTTCATCACGCTGACGCTGGCGATCTCAATATTGCCAAGGTCCAAGTCCACATATCCGTTGAAGAGGCCACGGACGAATTGGAACGAATTCGAATCCTAGGCAACAGGCTTGTCGACAGAGTGGCCAACGAAGGTACCCAGGCCCACGCTCTTCCCCAGGATCTCGTGGATGAACATATCCACAGTCTGGAGGCCTACCAGTCTATCTTAGAGGGTGCTGTCAAAGTTCTGGCCGAATGGCCTCCGACTCGTGAGGTGTTTGGGGTCCGCCGGCGTGCCCCTACACAGCGAAAGCCTTGCCCTTTCGTGGTTAGTTTCCAACCTGTTTGGCAAGGTGCCCAGTTTCGTTGCCTCGAATGTTTGAGGAAACTCAACCCCAGCTGTAAAATGAACTGCGCCGAAAAGTCTCAACTCCTCAGAGACATCACTGTCCGTGCTCCTGCGTTGCACCACTCCCTTGTCATGTCTTGGGCCGATGGTAGCAGGATGCCAATTGTGTACTGCACGATTTGCGGTGGTTTCAGTATGGGCAGAGGGACGAATCTGTCCGTCCTTTATAATGCCCCCCGCCTTCCCACTTTCGAGTTAAGAAAGCTACGGAAAAGACAGGGAAGAGAGGGAAGCGGAGGAGGAGGAGGTGAGGGAGAGAGGGAAGCGGAGGAGGAAAAGGAGGACCAGTGTAAAACCACGAGTCATCAACGATGTTGGGATAAACCCTCCTTCCAAGCTCCCTCTTCATAGGCCTCTTACAACGCTTCATGTGCTTTGAGGGAGTTGCCTCGTTTGAGTTCAACTGTTTGACGACCCTGAAGCATGCCACAACATTGGTCTCGGGATTCCAACTCCACGATCAACCTGACTGTTGCGTCCCGACGATCCTGAATCGTGCCAGAACGCGATCCCTGGGACTTGAACACAGCGAACCGATGTAACTGTTGCATCCGCATATTCCTGAACCCTTCCACAGCACCATTTCTGGTACGGTGATGATGGGAATCCATGGAACTTTTGCACATTCTTGAAACGAATGTGCGCGGCGCCCAGGCGAGGGCCACATTTTGAAAAGGAGCCGCCCTCAATCCGTGAGGTTCTTGCATTTTTTTGAAGCGAATGTGCGCGGGCTAAGGCGTGAACCGCATTTTGAAAACGGGTTCCTCTCAATCCGTGAAGCTGTTGCAATTTGTTGAAACGAATGTGCGCGTCGCTAAGGCGAGAGCCAAATTTCGCAACCGGGTTCCAACGACTGTTCGCCGCGCTATTGCGAGAGCCACACTTCGAAAACGGGGTCTTCTCAATCCGTGAAACGCGTGCAATCAAAAAACGAATGTGCGCCGCGCGCAGGCGAAAACCACATTTTGAAAACCGCCCGCCCTCCATATGTGAAACTGTTGCCAATTTTTAAGCCTCAGAGTCATAAGTAGTGAGGAAGCTTCAGGCGAAACGCCCGGTCCGGTCCGCCTTAAAAACTGGCTTCGGTGTGCGACAGGGAGACATTAGTTTTTTGGAAATGAAATGGAGGAGGAGGAGGAGGAGGAGGAGGAGGAGGAGGAGGGGGAGGAGGAGGAGCAGGAGGAGGAGGAGGAGGAATACCACTGGACAGTTCAAAGATGGGCGTTTGGCGTTCGCGCAGACCTGGAGTCCGTGAGCCCCTTCCTCAGAAAGGTACCGACGCCGATACCGCTATCCTCGCTTTGGTTTCGCCTTTTTGGGCCTCTGGGGAGGCCCTGCCCTCGCCACGGGTGGATTTGCCTCGAAGTTCTGGCCAGACCGAACCCTCGGAGAGGTCCGGCGAGCAGCGGTGCAGGTGTCTTTTGGTCTCCCCTTTCCTGCATGCTCTGCTTCCCCCCCTAATCCCTCTTCGCTTACCTCCTACTCCGCCTTACTGAAGGCGTATTTTTCCCTAAGGGCAAACATTTTTCCCACTGGAGGTTTTTTTTGCCTTGGGATGGCGGCAGTGGGCTCACTGAAGGCAACACTTTTGCCTTCATTGGAACATTTTTGCTTTCAGCGAGCTCATTGTCTTCAGTGAGCTCATGGCCCTTCCGTGTTTCCCTTCCTTTTCCCGCACCACACCCACGCGTGCCGCCAAGCTAAGCGGTCCTGGAGCAGCCTCTCCTCCGCTCCCTCAACCATCGGTCGCCCTTTGTCCTAGCGCTGCCGAGCGCTGAGGCGAGACGTTCTCCGTGCTCGACAACGCGAAATTCGGGACGGGAGGGCGGTGCCGCGCTGGCGGCTGGGGCGGTTCAGAGGGCGACGATCAGAAGAAGGGGCGAGCGAGGGTGAAGGACAGGGACCTTGTTCCCAACCATCCTGTGGTGTTGGTTTCTCGTTTTGAAGAGACAGCGCCCCGCGTCTCCTTCCTCTGCTCTCCTCCTCCCCCTCCTCCCTACTCTCCCTCCTTGTCTCTGCCCTCCGCGTGTTTCCGTTTCGGCACACCCAGTACAGCGTTTCGTGGCCCCATGCGGAGCTCACCGAAGGCCCCACGCACCCATTTCGGCACACCCCATACGTTTCGTGGCCCCACAGGGAGCTCCAACGAAGGCCCCAGTGGCAGGGTTCGCATGGCGCCACCGTGTCCATTTCAGCACACCCCTCACACGTTTCGTGGCCCCATCAGGGGGCTCCATCGAAGGCCCCAGTGGCAGGGTTCGCACGGCGCCACCGCGCCCATTTCGGCACACCCCTCACACGCTCCGTGACCCCAAATGGGGGCTCCACCGAAGGCCCCAGTGGCAGAGTTCGTACGGCGCCACCGCGCCCATCTCGGCACACCCCTCACTCGTTCCGTGGCCCCATAAGGAGCTCTTCTGAAGGCCCCAGTGGCAGCTCATTTCGGCACACCCCTCACACGTTTCGTGGCCCCACAGGGAGCTCCACCGAAGGCCCCAGTGGCAGGGTTCGCACAGCGCCACCGCGCCCATTTCGGCACACCCCTCACACGCCTCGTGGCCCCATAGGGAGCTCCACCGAAGGCCCCAGTGGCAGGGTTTGCATGGCGCCAACGCGCCCATTCCGGCACACCCCTCACACGTTTCGTGGCCCCATAGAGGGCTCCACCGAAGGCCCCAGTGGCAGGGTTCGCATGGCGCCACCGCACGCATTTCGGCACACCCCTCACACGTTCCGTGGCCCCATAGGGAGCTCCACCGAAGGTCCTGTGGCAGGGATTGCACGGCCCCACCGCACCCATTTCGGCACACCCCTCACACGTTTCGTGGCCCCATCAGAGGACTCCATCGAAGGCCCCAGTGGCAGGGTTCGCACGGCGCCACCGCGCCCATTTCGGCACACCCCTCACACGCTCCGTGACCCCAAATGGGGGCTCCACCGAAGGCCCCAGTGGCAGAGTTCGTACGGCGCCACCGCACCCATTTCGGCACACCCCTCACACGTTTCGGGGCCCCATAGAGGGCTCCACCGACGGCCCCAGTGGCAGGGTCCGCATGGCGCTACCGCACCCATTTCGGCACCCCCCTCACACGTTTCGTGGCCCCACAGGGAGCTCCTCCTAAGGCCCCAGAGGCAGAGTTCGCACGGCGCCACCGCGCCCATTGCAAGTTTCTTCGCGGCCCATGGGGAGCTCCTCCGAAGGCCCCAGTGGCAGGGTTCGCATGGCGCCACCGCACCCACTTCGGCACACCCCTCACACGCTTCGTGGCCCCATAGGGAGCTCCACCGAAGGCCCCAGTGGCAGGGTTCGCATGGCGCCACCGCACCCATTTCGGCACACCCCTCACGCGTTTTGTGACCCCACAGGGAGCTCCACCGAAGGCCGGAGTCACAACTGCGGTAGTTTTTTTAGCACTGTCCGAAGTGTGGTGTTCTGGTCATTCCCTATGCCCCAGGTACGTGTTTCTGGTTGTTCTTCATATCCTGGGCATTGTTCTGGTTATCACTGGGACGCCTCCGCCTCCTCACTCCGTTCCTCACTTACATTCAGATCCACTCATACCCAGCCAAGTCATATCAAGCCTCGTATGCACATGCCACGCACAGTTTGCTTACTCACACTCACAGTATGATCACCGCGACATAGCAGGCGTGGCATTCGGCCGGGGGGCCGCCAGGGTTGTGACACTCGCCCGTTCGCGCTGTTGGGATGTCTCAGGCCTCTGATTGTTTTGCCCCCAGACCCCTATCCTTCGAGAGACCCACGGTTGCCGTAACAAGGCAGGCGTTGCATGCCAGACATCCCAAGGGGTGGGCGGGTGGCGGGGCGTCATGGGGCGTAGGAGGAGGAGGAGGAGGAGGAGAGGAGCAGGAGGAGGAGGAGGAGGAGGAGGAGGAGTAGGAGGAGGAGGAGGAGGAGGAGGAGGAGGAGGAGGAGGAGGAGGAGGAGGCGTGACATTCTCCTTTCTGTGGATTGCCCCATGGCCACCGCGACATAGCAGGCGTGGTACACGTGCACCCCAAGCGGGGGGGGCCGCCAAGGGGCGTGACGCTCGCTCGTTCGCTCCAGCCTTGCGGGGATGCCTCGGGCAGCGTGCTCGTTCCCCCCCTCCCAGACTCCTTTCTGTTGAGAGCAAAAATGTCACCGCGCTTGAACAGGCACTTCTTATTTTCCCAATCAGTGCTTGCACTGAAGGGGTCCTAGCGGAAGTTGAGAGATTTGGCGAAAGTTCCCCGCCGATTTTGGTAGCAGGCTGGGTTCCTGGGTTCCCGGTTGTTGGTTCCGGGCCGATTTCGGTGGGTTCTGGGTTCCCGGGCTCCCGGGTTCCCGGTCGATCTCCTCAGCGAAAACCAGCCACTTTGAGAGCCCCAATTTCACCGCGCTTTGACAGGCATTGACACTCAGGGGTGGTTCGGTCGCCAGTTCGCGCCAGATCGGAGGAGCTCTCGGGCGAATCGCTGGTCCAGGCACCCCCGACCTCTTTCCCCTTCTCCGAGTCCCGGGATCACGCCGATGCAGCAGGCATTGTAGTAGGGCGCTCCTGGGCAGAGCCGCCAGGGAACGCTCAGTCGCGACAGGCGAAGATTAATTCACCCTAGACGGGTGTGCCAGGAACTGAGACGCTGATATGGGGATCTCCAAGTCCAAAAACTACTGGGACGCCTCCGCCTCCTCACTCGCTGTCGCCGCCTGTTCCCGCTCATCGCACTCAGATCACTCCTGCGCAGACTCACTTCCCATCAGGCTCAGTCACACCCAGACTCGCCCACAGTCGCGACACTCGGGGCGCACTCGGATCGCTCATACTCAGACTCACGCACTCTCAGACCCACTCACGCTCAGACCAAAGCATACCTAGTCGAATCATTGTCATAATCATACACACGCATACCGCTCACAGTATGGTCATTCACGCTTGCAGTATGATCACCGCGGAATAACAGTAGTGGCATTCAGGCGACCCATGGGGGCAGGGGGGGCGCCAGGCGACGCGACGCTCGCCCGTGCGCGCCCAGACGGTTTGCTCGTTTTACCTCCCATGACTCAGGAGGGGAAAAACACACAGACACAATTAATCGTCGATTCCCCAGAAGTGGGGGGGAAACAAAAACCCAGGAAATATGGGAGACTGTGGGGAATCCTGTTATTTAATCGCTTCGCTCATTCCGCCGGCCCATACAGTCTCATGTCTGCCGTTTGCCCGAGGGCCTGGTGTCAATGCGGCGCTTTGGGGGTTCCTGGGGCCGCTTGGGGGACTCCTGGGGCGCTCGGGGGGGCATTTGGGGGGCCTCCTGGGGCCGCTTGGGGGACTCTGGGGGCCTCCTGAGGGCCCCGTGGGGGCCTCTTGGGGCCTCTTAGGGGCCTCGTAGGGGCTTCTTAGGGCCGAGGGCTCGAAATGTTGTTTCGTGTTCCCTCTCTGGGGCCCCTTTGGGGGCGTTCTTGGGGCCCTCTTGGACCGTCTTGGAGGCTTCTTGGGCCGTCTTCGAGCCCTCTTGGGCCATCTTGGGGCCCTCTTGGGGGCCTCTTGGGCCCTCTTGGGGCGATCTTGGGGGCCTCTTGGGCCGTCTTGGGGCGTCGGGAAGCCGAAAAGGTGGAAGCTCCAAAAGCTCTCAAAAACCTATGGAAAAACAATGATTTTTGCCTCCGGGGGCCCTATTGGGAGTGCTCTTGGAGGCCTCTTGGGGCGTCTGGGGGCTATCTTGGGCGTCTTGGAGCGATCTTGTGGCATGTCGGACCCCTCGTGTACCATCTTGGGGGCCTCTTGGGGGCCTCTTGGCCTTTCTTGGGGCTCTCGGGGACGTCTCGGAGCCCTGTTGGTGCGCTCATGGAGCGCTCGGGGGGACCCGGCCGGGACCCGGCCGGGACCCGGCCGGGGACCGGCCGGGACCTGGTCGGGGTACTTTTCGTCCGGGGACCCCCAGGGGCCGCCCCGCGCGCGCGAACTAGAAAATTGTTAACCAGTTACCGGAGATCTTAGCACGCCTCTGGCCCGTTGGGCCGGCGAATTTGTGTCTATTTATTTGTGTGTCCCAGGGCCCCTTCAACAACTAATCTTTCTTCCGAGAGCTCCATCTTGGGATCTCAGCTACCGAGCGTTGGGTTTGGCAGCAGGTCTTGGCGAAGCACTCGTCATGGGCCTCGCTGTGTCCTCATCCTCCTCTCCTCGAGCCTCTGAGGTCCCTCCTCCTTCCCGCCTCGCTCAACGGCCCCGATTGGACCCCTAAGCATCAAGGGCTCCTCAAGTGCCTTTTTGCGGGAGGTTTTTGGTGTCAAGAGAGGCTGTATGAAGCTGGTGGAGCGATTAATCCTGAGTGCCTTGCGTGTAAGAGCGTCGGCTCCACTTGGCATCGTTTCTATGATTGCCCCGTGCACACTGAGTACCGTCGGGATTCAAGGCAGGCTCTGTGTTGGCCAGTCAGATGCTAGAGTTGGCTAAGACGACAGCCGACCGCTCGCTGCTTTGGACCCGATTTCTCGTCCCTGATCCGTCCTGGCTTTTTCCGAGCCCTTGCCTCGAGGAGCGAGTGGTGTGGACCCTTCGGTCGCCTGATTTGCTGTTCGATGTGCATGTGTTTGGAGATGCCTCGGGTGTGCATGGGCAATACTGTCGTCTTAGGAGATGTGGTTGGGGGCTGTGCTCTCTCGACTCCCAGTGGAAGGAGGTCGCGAGGATGCATGGACCGCTGCCCATGTTGTTTCAGACTGTGCCCGCAGCTGAGCTTTTCAGTTTCCTCATGGCCTTCCGTTATATGGGCGCTCAGCTGAAATTTTTCACCGACTGCAAGCCACTTGTTGATGTGTGGCGCCAGGGGTCAGGAGCTGGCACTGATGCTGGCGACCCCATGGCCTACTTATGGAGGGAGGTTTGGAGTCTGGTGTCGGACCGTG